ACAGACCACCTGGGTGCAAGTGATCAGTTTTTAGCTGTGTGACTTGGGACAGTTGCTTAACCTCACTGTAGCTCAGTTTGCACATGTGTAAAGTAGTGATAATAATAGTACCTGACCCATACATTATTGCGAGGATTAAGTGAACGTGTGTGTGTGTGTGTGTGTGTGTGTGTATGAATTTATACACAAACATATATGAACAGGTCTGGCACATAACTGTATAAATTAGCTTCAGCCTTCACTTGCTACCCAACACCTCTGTGTTGAAGTAGACAGATAAATGACATTCTATGTGGTCACTAAGGGAAATTTAAAATATCTTGTTATATTTTTCAAATAATCTGAGAAATACTTTGCTCTGTATGCCTTTTGGAAGAAGTTGGAGACCAGCATATTGATAAGTCCCTTTCTGGTTTTAAAATATTTATTATTAAACTGAAAAAGCCTTGAGCAGTATGTGACAATGCACAAGAATTCATAGTCTTCCTATAAAAGTCTGATTCTCCTGCCCCTAAGTGTTTCAGAGACAGTGAAAGGGAAAGATCTAGCTTAGGAGAACTGTTTTGTCAAGTAAAAATGGTCTCAAAAGTGTTTACAATTCTCATTTGATTATTCTCACTGCTGAAAAACAGTGGAAATGATTATAAGGACTTTAAATAAAACTTTCATTTTATGCAAAGGAAATGGTACAACCTACACACTAAATTGTTCTCTAGTTTCTGAATTAAGTCAAGTAAAGTAAGGAAGCATCCAAGATAAGGCTGAAACACACCCTTCCTACTGGTGATCTGCCACCCCCGATAAAAAACTGTAATTGAAGCCAATCCTGGGCAAAGCAAGGTCCTGGCCAAACGTTCCATGTCTTTCTACAAATATTCACAGCAGGGTTGTACCAAGACATTTCTGCACTGTAGTGCTTTCTTGGTCACTAAGTATTTCTCTCTCTCTCTCTCTTTCTCTCCCCCTTTGTCTCTCTGTCTCTGTCTCTCACTCTCTGTGTCTCTCTGTCTCTATCTCTCTCCCTCTCAAACACACACAGCGTCAGTCACAGTGATGGTTTGGAGTGAAGATAAGAAAGAGAAGATTGAACAGCTTTTCATACAATTGACATGCAGAGGCCTGCTGTAAGTACCTAGATACCCAGCAGTAACCAGTTCTCCTCACCATCCCTCCCTGGCCAGTTTCCAGACATGAAGGAAACAACCCCTTCAAAAGATTATGTCAAAGACAGCCACAAAAAGAAAGGGAGGAAGGGAGGGAGGGAGGGAGAGAGGGAGAGAGGGAGGGAGGGAGGGAGAGAGGGAGGGAGGGAGGGAGGGAGGGAGGGAGGGAGGGAGGGAGGGAGGAAGGAAGGGAGGAAGGAAGGAAGGGAGGGAGGAAGCCACAATGTCCACCCAATCCTGCACGTTCCAGAATTCTTCAGAGTACAGTTGACCCTTGAAGAACACAGGTTTGAAATGCATGGGCCCACTTATATACGGATTTTTAATAGTAGTAAATACTGCAGTATAACACGATCCACAGTTGGTTCAAACCACAGATCCAGAACCGCTGATACAGAGGAAGTGGACACATATAGGGAGCACCGACTTTAAGTCATACATAGACTTTTTCTTTTTTTTTTTTTGAAAAGTCCGTTCATAAAACTTTTATTCCACTTACATGAACTTAATACATGTGTCCTTAACAATTATGCTTGGATTGTTCATGAAAATCTCATAAGACATTAAACAAAGCTAGCCATCATCTCAAGTTATTTCCCTGTTAACTATTTTTGCAGCACATGCATGTTAGGCGAGTATCAAAAACAAAACAAAAAACAAAACAAAAAGCTAAAAAATGTTAAATACATGGTTTTTTTGTTTTACTGCTGCGCTTGATATACGTGAAGTAATGAATATCAAGCAATTCATTTTTACTGCATCTTTACTTGTACATTTGTTCTTAGGTTGCCTAAAACATTTAAATACAAATAAAATGAGTGTAGCAAAAATAATGAAAGAAAACAGCAGGTAACTTTACAAGTAATGGAATGTGAACCGTTTCCGCCCTTATCCAGAGTAAATTGGGTCACAACTAAAGGAACACTTCAGTAGCTGTAGTCAGCGGTGTGCACATTGAGACTGAGTATTCCACAGATAACACATGGTTTAACATGTAATATCCATGGGATATCTATTTCTACTATAGCCTTGTAAATGCTCCAAACCTTAAAGTACCCACAGCTACACCTGTGACTAGAACCAATTATCCCTTTTATTCCCCACCAGGACAAACCAATATGTAGTCAGTTTTCTTTGCTTAGACATGGAAGCAGTTTTAACACTGGCCCTTCTGAAGCCAAAATGTACCGAAAGTACTATGTCAAACATTTATAACTTGTATAAAAATTCCACATCCCCATATTGGCCACCTCAAGATGAAAACAGATAACTCCCTAAATGTTAACTGGCTCTACTCCCCTAATATTAAACATAAAAACCACATGGGAAATATAGAAATTCAAATAGAAGTAACATAAACCTGTCATAAATCATAAACAAAAACTATTTGTGGGACAGCATCGATGACAAACGGTCTACTGTGTCAATTTTAGAACGAGGCAGACGAAAGTTGGAAGGCAGGTTAATTTTCCTCTCCTCCTGCTTCAGCTTTGTCTCCTTGGGTATCCGATGTCCACAATGTCAAGGTGTCTCTCAGTAACTGCATTATTAGTGTGCTGTCTTTGTATGACTCTTCACTTAATGTATCAAGTTCAGCAATGGCTTCATCAAATGCTGTCTTTGCAAGAGAGCAGGCTTTCTCAGGGGAGTTCAGAATCTCATAATAGAACACAGAGAAGTTAAGGGCCAGACCCAATCTGATAGGATGTGTTGGTTGCATTTCCTTTTTGCTGATTTCAAAAGCATCTTGGTATGCTTACTGTGATTGATCCACAATCCCTTTCTTCTCGTCGCCAGCAACAACCTCAGCCAAATAATGGTAGTAGCCTCCTTTCATTTTCAAATAGAAGACTTTGCTCTCTGCTTGTGAAGCACTGGGGATCAAGAACTTTTCCAAATGAGACAGTACATCATTGCAGATACCTCTTAGCTCGGTCTCAATTTTCTCTGTCTTCTCCAGCCATCTGCTGTTTTTTCTCAGCACCTTCCATCTTTTTCTCAGTACTTGAGACGACCCTCCAAGGTGACCTACAGGCTCCTACAACATTTTTATAAGCAACTGAGAGAAGATTCCTCTCCTCATTGGATAATTCAGCTCTTGCTCAGTTACAGACTTCATGCGGGCTGCCACGTCATCATCTCGCTCAGCCTGCTTGGCCACTTTGGCCTTCTGCACCACTCATTTTTATCCATGACTGGGTGTTCTGGCGGGCGCTTCCGGGCCGCCTCGGCTCAAAGCCCGGTGCCCGGGCCTGGCCTGCCCGCCGTGCCGCCATCCGGGTCGGGGAGAGCTGGGTGCCGCTGCCACAGCGCAAGGCGCAGAGGCTGCGCCGAGGAGCGGGCGGGAGAGGCAGCCATACATAGACTTTTGATTCCACCAGGAGGGTCCCCCAATTCCACCAGCCCCCTCCCGCCATTGTTGAAGGGTCAACTGTAGCATTTAACAAACCCCGGAAATTTCAAACTGCTAAAATTTTTCTGTTAGTGCTACCCAGATGCATGACTGTTGCATTTTAAGCTAGACTGGGGAGAATACTTGAAGAATCCTAAATTCTACCTCCCCTAATAATGTCCTTTGTCTATCATCCAAATTTGCCCTATGTCAGAACAGCCATTGCTATTCAGCAGCCTATGTAAAATGAGTCCCGGTGCTTAGTCCAGTTCCAGACAACTGATGTGCATGTCGCATATCACCTGTACTGGGGACAGCTCTGGACTCAGAGTGTCCCCCTGAGGCTTAGTAGGTGACAAGATAGGCCAGAACAAGGAGACCCAGAACCCCACAAATAGAGCCCAGGAGGAAAGCTGGTGATGGAGAAGGGTCCTAAAAGGGACGACTGGTCTGGGCGATTCAATGTCTTGTTACAACAGAGTAACTGAAAGTACTGTTGGACTAGAGGAATGACTGTGTGTGTGTCTGCAGGGGTAGGGGGAACAGCAGGGCATTAGAGTCTGACAGGAGGGGACTTTTAAAAGCTGATACTTTCCCAGCCCACAGAAGAAGATCTGGGGTCCCAGGCAGCACACCAAGCCAGGGAGGGGACCATCTGAGGCCTGGTCATGGGAATGGCAAAAAACTAGTCACCAGTTATAGTGAAATGAGCCACATCAGATCCTTTCAAGAATTAGTGATGGTAGGGACTTCCCTGGTGGTCCAGTGGTTAAGACTCTGCTTCCACTGCAGCAGGCGTGGGTTCGATCCCTGTTCAGGGAACTAAGACCCCTCATGCCTCAGCGCAGCCAAAAAAAAAAAAAGAAAACATTAGTGACGGTATGGATAAACACATAAAACTATATATGGGAGGAAAACTCTAGTTTAAAAATTATAAGATTAGGTATCTAGTCTCATGTTTTCCCCTTACAAATTATGTGACCTTCAACAAATCACTTGACCTCTCGCAGCCTAGTTTAGCTGCTTTAAATGGAGACAATAACCATCACACCTATTACACTGGGTTGTAAGGATCTGATGAAAGGACAGATGTGAAAGCAGTTTATAAACCACGGTGCTCTAGACCTGTGACATGGCTTCTTTCCTCCTTTGCTGCATATCCAAGGGATGCTCTGGACTTGCAAGAGGAAGAGTGGCTGACAATGTTAGGACTTTCACCATGGTAGGAAGTGGGGAAGCACCTGGACTGGGAAAGTATCAGAATCTGTGCAGCTCTTAAAAGCCTCCTCCTGGGGCTTCCCTGGTGGCACAGTGGTTGACAGTCCGCCTGCCGATGCAGGGGACACGGGTTCGTGCCCTGGTCCGGGAAGATCCCACGTGCCGCGGAGCGGCTGGGCCCGTGAGCCATGGCCGCTAAGCCTGTGCGTCTGGAGCCTGTGCTCCGCAACGGGAGAGGCCACAACAGTGAGAGGCCCACGTACCGCAAAAAAAAAAAAAAAAAAAAAAAGCCGTCTCTTGCCAGACTCCAATGTCCTGCTGCACCCCACCACACCCCCACAAACACACACTGAGAGTCATTCCTCTAGCCCAACAGTATTTTCAATTATTCTGTTGTCAAATATGTGATTACTCTATTGTAGTTGAAACTGGAGGCATGGAGACCCCAAGGTCCAAAGATGTGCTTTCCTTGGCCTGCTGTTTGGCCTACAAAAGGTACATCTGCTCCCTCCCCCACAAAAATTAGATATATGCTCTATATATATTTAAATATATATATTTAAAAATCACGAAATTCCGATAAAAAATTTAGTTTTCTAGCTTCTCTTGAAAAACCAAAAGATCTAGCAACACTGGGCCCAAATTCCCACAAGGCAACACAAACTTTAGGGGGCATAAGAATCACAGCAAGAGATCATTAAAACATAAGCTGCAAGACCCCATCCTCAGAGTTTCTGATTCCTTAGATCTGGGATAGGACCGAAAAAACAGCATTTCTAACAAGTTTCAGGTGATTCTGATGCTGCTGGTCAAGAGACCATACTTTGAGAACCACTGTGCTAGATCCTTGCATGGGCTGTTCCTGTTCAATAGGGATGCACACTCCAGTTTACCATAGCCCACACCACATCCTATGGTCAGTGACACAAGTATCTGTTGTCAACTATCATGCTTACTCTCTTGTTTCTCTTACACATGCAAAGTCACTTAACTAACCTAATATGCCTGACCTCTTAAGCATTCGAGTTACTAGCAACCTCTGCTACTTGAGGGCAAGAAACCTGCCTTATACACCTCCTTCTCCCTCTCCAACCCCTGTCTCTCTGCCTCTCTCAAACATACACACTCACCATCCTACACAGTGTCTTACACATAGTGCTCAACTATGTTAGTTGATTTGAGTACCTGCATAAAGTCTGAATCCTTCAAGGCCTGAGCTTGAAGGACAGCAAGGTTTTTAAGCTAGGAACTGGTTTAGGCCTCCTTCCCTTTGTCTATTGGATCCTGATGAAAGAGCAGGTCAATGCTGCCTCAAATGTGGAGGTGGGAGACAAAGAACAAAGATCATTACACAGGATGAAGCATAAGATCTCCTGAGACCCATTTCTCCTTTTTAGCTTCTCAGAATCAGTACTCAGCCCCAAATCCTCTAAAAGTAGTTATCATTCAGGAATACTATCAGTTGAGCAATTCAACCAACTGCCTTCGCTAAGTGGTTTCATGATCATCAGCTTGAGGGCAGGGGAAGACGCCTGGGTGATAAATCTAGATTCCCTCTAACTTTCTTTTCTATGAGCCCATTAATGACGACTTGAAACAAATTCTGGTACACATTTTGAAATCCACCAAAATGCAGGCCAGACTCCTCCCTAGTGTCTACCCCCAACCCACACATGCTCTGTCTTGTAGCCTTGGCCCTAAGCCATGGTTTGTGTAAAATGGCCTCAAATTTAATTTCCACTTAGAGTTTAAATGTTTCTCTGTTCAATAATGAAATATGGGCAGCTCATTCCAGAGAGTTGTAAAGAGTGTCAGTCTTTAAGGCCAAGAACTTTTATCCTTCTTTTACAAGCTGACAGCAAATGAAAAGAGTTTGTTTCACCAAAAGGGATACCAAGGTAATTTGTGAAGACCTGACCTCATTAAAATATTCTTGAAATGTGACCAAAAAGGAAGAAACATCTAAGTAAACTGTTGGAGGCCTATCCTATGTCAAAAAGTGGCCTCAAAGCAGTATTATTATCACTTCCATTTTATGAAAAAGGGCCCTGAGACTTATAACAACCTCCCCGGGATTATACAGCTGTAATCAAAGACAGAATCAAACTCACTCTCAAGCCCACAACTTCCCCATTACCAATTTACCTTCACCATCCATACGTCTTATATCAAGGGCACATCTTCCCTCTAAACTGCCTCTAAAAAGCTTAAGAACTCAGAGGCTAAAGATGAGCCCAAACTCAATACATATAATAGAAGACCCCATGGTAACTGCTTCTTAAAACTAGAAGAGAGAAACAAAATGAGCACACAGTGAATCAGAGCAAAGCTATGCAAACGCATTTTTATAAGTGACAAATGATTCCCAGGCCAGAAAGGCTTTGCTTGAATGTAATAACAAATCTCAAGAAAACAGATCCCTCAGAAGGAGATTGCGAGGTAGCAGCAAAGGTATAAGAGTCTGAGAAAAGTCATCAAAGCCCATCAAGCAGCCTCCAAGGACAGTCCTGGCTGGCTGGTCCAATCCTTAATAAAGGGAGATGCCCAAAACCTGTCAATTTCAAGAAGCCCAAAAGCCATGACGGGAAAGACCAATAGATTTGAGCACATACAAATTAAATTAAAGGATGCCTTAAAAAAGTCAAAAGGTGAATGAACACAGAAGAGGAGGAGATATTTGAACACATGTCAGAAAAAGGGTTAATATTACTACTACTATAAACATGCTCCCTCCCGCCAAAAAATGATCAAGGACAAACAATCCAACAGAAAAAATGAACAGGAGAGGAAATGAATAGACAAATCATGGAACAGGAAATGCAAATATCTCAAAAACATACAGAAAAATTCTCAACTGCACCTGTAGTCAGGAAACATGCAAATCAAAACAAAGTTGCACTGTTTCTACTGACCAAAGTGCCAAAAAAAAACCCAAAACCTAAAAATATCAGTATTAGAACTAATGAGGGTATAGGGAAACAGATACTGTCCCATGATTCTTGGGGATATGAAAATGCTACACAATCCTTGGAACATTATTTGGTCACGTACTGATTTAAAAATAAGTATGACCTCTGACCTCAAATCCCACTTTGGAGAATTACATATTGAGGCATTTTAAGTGGCAAAAAACAACCTCAACATTCATCAACAGAGGAATAATTGAATAAATTCTAGACCTCCATATAAATATTGTAGTTATTGAAAAGAACAAAAATAGCATTATTTGGAAGATAGCAAAAGGCAGTGGACTTGAGAGCCACATTGCCCTAGTTCAAATTGCTGCTCCCATTAACTGGGCAACCTTGGGCAAATAAGTCACATCTCAGTTGCTTGTCCTTCCACTGGGGATCACAGTACCTACCTTGTATGGTAGTTGTGGGGTAAATGAGATAAAGCATAGGGCCTGGCATCCAGCAAATACTGGATATTCTGTTGGGGGAGCAGGGAAGAACTGTACAAATTGTATAGCATAGATATATTTTAGTTAAAAGTGTATATATGTTTTAAAGCACACTATGTATGTGTGTGTGGTGGTGAGAGGAAAGGAGAAGGTTTTAGCTCTTCCTCTGCATGTCTCTGTGTTGCAAGGAACATGTATTGCCTTTATAGGTTGGAAGACTAATCCTGTAACACTTTTTGAAAGTGACCTGCTGAGAGTGCTAGCAGGAGTGGAGGCTACGAAAGCATAATTAAAGATCGGGAAGTGAGTCTGGAAGCTGGGAAGTTTGGTGGGTCTGGAGCACAGAGTGCGCTGTGGAGGCAGCAGGTATAGCAGGTATAAGGCTGGGGGTAGTAAAGGAAGGACTGCATGTTCTCGGAGGGGGAGCGTGGACTTTCTCCAGATATCCATGGGAAGTTCTTTCGAAGAAAGGAATGCAAAGTATTGGCTGTACTAGGGCAGTATGAAAGATGTACTCTGCCCCTTCACCAAAACAAAAACTTTCAGTAGCTCCCTGTCATAGGGATAAAGTCCAGACCTACTTAGGTCTGTGAGTCTGATAGCCAGGCTTCTCATTCCACCTTTCCCCAACCTTACTGAACTACTTGTAGTTCTTAGAAGGTTCTGCTCTCTCCAGCTGACCTTTGCTCAGGCTGCAGCTTCTGCCAGCAGTGCCCCCCACACCTTTCCTTGTTCTGCCTGGCTAACTCTTCAGAGTTCAGCTCAAATAATCCTAACTCCTGGGAAGCTCACCTTGATCCCCCAAGGCTCAGTTTCCCTTCTAGGTCCTCCTACATCACCCTGGCATGAACCTAAAAAGAGAACTTTTGACATTGATCTGTAATTGTCAGTTTATTGTCTGCCTCTCCAACCAAACTGCTGGTGCTTAATAGTATTACTTGTTGATTCTTCAGTACCTAGCACAAAACAAAGTCAGAAATCTATAAATATTTGTTAAATAAACAAATGTCTTGAAACATACAAAGCATCTTACTCTTTCCCCTTTTTTGTATTCCATGTTTTCCCAAAAAGTTTCTCACTTAATGCCCTATCCTATGTGTGCTAGCCCACAGGCAGAAAATCCACAACAGATCATATTACTACGAGTCTGGGTCCATGTGACAGCTATATTGCTCACTGAAAACTAATAAATTAGTATAGGGATTTTAGTCTTATACTTTCATTAACGTAAGTTCTGCCCTGGAGGAAAAAAACCTCCATGTGCTGGCAAAAGCTGACATCTGAGCATTTAAAACAAAAGGGCCACAACTCTGAACTATGGTAAATTACTAAGGTAAAGACCTCTTGGGAGGCCTTCTCTGGCTACATCTGGACCTTGAGTCATTCACTCATTCAAATATGTAATAAACCCCCACTAAATGGCAACCTTCATTCCAAGCACTGAGGATATAGCAGGGAACAAGACAGACGAGCCCTACCCACCATGGAGTCACATTCTAGAGGGGGTTAGCAGAGGGCCAAATAATAAACATGTGAAAAATAAGAGAGTTTCAGGCAGTACTAAATACTGTGAAAACAATTAAGCAGGATAGGAAATGATTAAAGGTGGGGAGAAGGGATGACAGCTCTTTAGATGTGTGGTCAGGATAAAAGGCTTCTCTGAGGGATGGACATTTGAGCTGCAACCTAAGTAATGAGAATGAATCAGCCATGAGAAAATCTGGGAGCAGAGAATTCCAGGCTGGAAAAAGAGCAAATGCAAAACCTCAAAGGTAGGAATGAGCTTGGTGCATTCAAAGAAAGATAGAAAACCAATTTGGCTAGAGCATAATGAACAAGGAATGTGAGTTAAGAGCAATCAGAGGGTAGATGTACAACAGATCATAAGGGCCATGATGAGGAGCTTGGATTTTATTCTAATTGCAAGGGAAAGACATTAGGGAAGTATAGTTAGGGAAGTGATAGTCTGATTTATATTGTTAAATGGCTAATGATTGAGAATGAATTCTAGGAAGGCAAGAGTGGAAACCCAGGAGCCAGACAAGAGGCTATTGTCATGGTCTAAATGAGAGCTGCTGATGGCTTGTACCAGGATGGTAGCAGTAGACATAGTGAGAAGTGGTCCGTCAAATTTGGGATCATATTTTGGAGGTAGGATCAACAGGACTTGATCTTCGATTGGATGTTGCAGGCAAGAGAAAAAAGAAGAATCAAAGTTGTGATCTTTTGGTTCTTCTCATCAGGAATTCCTGCACCTGCTTGCCAATAAAAATTTATGTTCTGCCGGAGAACCTCCTTTCAGTAACCATAACAAAGTCAAAGCCAGTCAAAATTTCCGCTAGTGTATGACAAAATTTGAATTATGCATGCCAGTTTATGACAGAGGATTCAAGAACAGTTTATTCTTCATTAAACTGAAGCTTTAAGCTCCTGATTTTTTTTTTTGTAATCTAAAAAGCAGCTCATTTTCTAAAGACCCAAGTTGCTTACAAAACAAAGATTCGTGCTTTATAATCTTATTGTCTCATATGAGGGCCATATTTTATATCATTGTTTTATGAATGTTAAAAGGCTTAGCAGGCCAAGTAACTTACAGTACAGGAAGAAACAGAATGGCACGCCTAATTTCCTTACAATCAACCCCTAATGTATTCATTCACCTTCTATGAAACTCTGGCAACAATGTGTCTTGAAGAACTAGCTGTTTAAGGCTACAGAGCAATTCTCTTTCTCCTGAACTTAACTATTCTGATGTTTCATATACTGCCCAGTAACAGTCCTTTAGAAAATAACATTTTGAAAACAAACTACACTCATTAGTATGTACAAATCTATGAAATATACACAAAATATTATTAGAAAAATAACAGGTAGGATTGAATGTAATTTCATGGCTAAAAAAACATAGGAAAATTCACAGTAGTATTTGTGGTGTTAATATGCACAGCACTGTTTAGGACTGAGAACGTTTAGGGGACTCAGTAAACCACATCCCTCTTCCTACCAAGTTGTGAGCCAACTGAAAAACAGGAAAAAGAGTAGACAGCTGAGAACTGTCGTTCTTCCTGATAAAGCTGACGCTGGAGGCGAGATGGCGCCAGTGGGCCTCCCAACGCTGAACCCTAGGACAAGGTAGACTTACCACTGGGTTGCTGACTGGCAGAACGGGATTACAGAAACTCTCCCCTCCACCTACTCCAAAGACTTGTCCCTGTAAATTCTGCAGCATAAAGGAATAGACTAGAAGTCATGATTCCTGATGGCAGCCTGGCCCCAAGGGTAAGACTGGCCAAAGGGCTGAGCTTTCTCATGCAGCTTCTCACTATGTAGTATCTTACTCAATGGGGAAGAGGAAAGGCTGGCCCAAGACACCAGGAATGTTAATAAAACCCCCTGCAACTTACACCACATTCCCCACATAATTTTATTCTCTTAACCTAGTAATCTCCAAACTGGAATAAATCTACCCTGGGATTCTACTTTCCAAGAGGAATACAAGCACAGATAATTTTAAGGAAATCAATTCCATTTATTCAACTTTCACCTACTCCTTCCTAAAGTTGAGCTGTCTAAAATATGACTGAGGTTGAGATTTCACAACAATTCAATTTTTCCAATTCTATTTTAAAATCAGTCTTTTCTACTTATAAAAGACAGGCATCCTCTCACCCATCCCAGATATTACTATGACAATTTGCTCCCATGTGCAAAAAGCCTCTAAGGTACCGTACAAAGGAACAATTCTAAATAGTGATGTCAATATTTAATTTAATCAATGCATTATAAGTAGCAGGAGGATTTCTTGGCTTTCCTTATCTTAAATATATTTCTATTAAGAGAAAAGCATGGTGCTAGAAATTGGGTATTTTGGTCTGTGCGGGAGTGTTCTGAGTTCAGATAATTGTAGAGCAGGGTGGCAAGAGTTACGATCATTTTTGTCTAATGCCGTTTCCTCTTCCATTTCCTGATGGTGTCAAACAATACTGTTGAGATAGCAAACAGAAATACTGAAGGAGGTTGAGCCCTATTTCATGTGGGTAACAAACCCACAGCAAAGTTTCATGCTCCAGATATCTCTCTCAGAATTCAAAAATGGAAGATATGTAGAAAACATTCTGGGAAATACCAGTTACAAGGCACATCTGCTCAGTAATGAGAGAGAACTTGGTGCCATCCTCCTGTGTCTCAACTGCATATTTCAGATGATTTCAAGGAAAAGGATGTTAAAAAAATTCCAAATTTCCTTCTAACAGATCATCATTACATTACATGTAAAAGGAACATATATCACAGATACATTAATGTTTTGTAGTGCTTTTTGAACAATTATTCAGACTCATGGGAGAAAATATTTTCACTAGTTTTTACCTGAAGATTATTGAATATAGTAAGTCTATACTTGTTTTCTTACCCAAACACTTCTGCTTATTATTTGTAACCACTTCTCACCTCATTATTCATTCCTATCTTTTATGTAATACACTTAGATTTAGATATATAATTTTCTATTGTAAATAATGCATTGAACATCATTTATTCATCTTTTGTAAGCCCTGCACCTAATAGTCCCCCAACTTGTTTTCTTATTGTATCCTAGCAGGAAATTACATCCATGAACTAACTGGAGAGGAGGAGCTTCATCGATTTCATTAAGAGACATATTTCCAGGAAAATTTTAGTTCTCTTTAGTAATTATTTGGAAAAATTTGTAATGTACTTAAGATTAATTATGTATTACTACTAATAATTGTAAAAATAACTCAATCCAAAAGAAATTTTTGACATTTAGAACCTTTTGGTGGTAGAAATTTTTTAAAATTATAAACAATTTTTTGACTGCCACAAAGACTGATAGGGTGAGCAATAAAATACATTTGAGCATAAAATATATTTTTAAGACTTCTGTGGGGAAGTAGAATAAAAACACAAGTTCAAAGAGAAAAAAAGAGTAATGTAAAATTTCTGTAAATATGGATGATGGTGAGTATTCAATTTCTATGGGATTTAATTTCACTAAATGCATTTTTAAGTGCTATAACCCTTTACACTTTAAAATATTCATATTTAGATTACACCAGAAATTACATCTTTTGCAACTAAGGACAAAAAATTTTACATGTGAACCTAAAAATTATTTTGGGTGTATGTCAGTAAAAATGTATGAAGACCATTGCTTTGACCCTTTCAGCTTACCCACTGAGATCACCTTAGGACATGGTTATCCCCCTTGGGTAAGAAGTCAGCAGTCAGTTAGCGTAGTCCTGCTCCCATCTTCATAAGGCCACTTCAATACTGATTTCAGCTCTTTTGTGGAATCTCGTGGGGCCACTGGTAAAGGGTAGGTGTTGTTCCCAGAATGCCCTGAATGGGTCAGAACAATACGTCAATTAAATCAGCTCCCATGCTATTCTGTACGCAAGGCTATAATTCACAACCTGTTCTATTGCCACCTCAAATTATGTCTCACTACCTTGTTCAACATTACCAGAAGTTCTAAAAGAAGATCAAATGATAACATAAAAATACTCTAAAAACTAAAAGCCAAAAAGACATCCTCAATCTGATTATGACCCCTTTCCAATATGAATTTTCTAGCACGAAATGAAAAGTTCAGACATTACATTATCTTATTCTTCTGAATTACAGCCCAAAGTAATCAGTACCGACTTCATGTTAAAGTCCAAAATTATTAACTTCCAACTTGTTAACACTCTTGCGCTTGTGGATTAAAGTTCAAACAACAGGTTTTTTCACTCCATGGCAGTGAGCTTAGCTCCCAAGCCTGAAGCTCCCCTTCCCCCAGAGCGCCTATCCTGTTAAGCTTACCCCAAGCCTCCCTTGTCCTGGGCAGGCCCCCCTGGCATGGGCAGACCCCTGTGAAACTTGTGGTATGAAGCAGCAGAGTAGAAAGCATACTTTCTGTGGGCGGCCTGGCTCCCATGAGAAAGGAGAGAGGAAGAAGGTGGGCTGCACACGCCAAACTTACACATCAGGAAACTTGTTAGAAGCGCTGGAATGAGGTATCGAGTGTTATGTTAGTGGCACCCCCTCCATACTTTAAGAAACATCTGATGTGGGAAAGAAGTGTTTTCCCCTAAAATAGAGAAATAGAACAGAATTACAAGAAACAGTCTATCTTATTTAAGAAATATTTATTGAGCTCAAATTTCTAAGCTACATTTGCTGAGAGATTCCTAAGTGAATCAGAGCTGGATGCTGCCTAACAACCAACCACTAACATTTGTAACATAGTCATATATGTCAATGCCATATATTTTAGGTTTCTGTTACAGCAGTGCCCTACTTCCAGTACCAATTTTTGTATTACTATCGATCAGGCTTTATTTGCTACCAAACAACCACAAATATCTCAGCGACTTAGAACAGCAGAAACGTATTTCTCACTCATACAACCATGTGTATTAGCTAAGGAGTCTTTTCCACTTTGTACTGACCCTAGGACCCTGGCTGATGGAGGCAGCCACCATGTGGAATATTGTTGTGGTGGTAGATTAAATAAGGCCACAAGTTCTTTGTCACTCTTCCCCCCAATCCCCATCAAGAGGTGGAGTTTATTTACCCTCCCCTTGAAACTGAGTTGCCCATGTGACTGCTTTAACCAATAGAATGTGTTATTTCCAAGACTAAGCCTTACAAACACCTGGAAGCTTTTGCTTTTTGAAGAGTCCTGAGCCACCATGTAAGAAGTCAGGCTACTCTGCAGGAGAAGCCATTTAAACTGAGGCCCTGCAATAACACTGGAAAAAGAAAGGCTCAGCCATTCTAGCATCCCCATCGAGCCTCCAGATTACTCCAGTCCAACAATACCTGGCTGGAACCACATGAGAGACACCAAGCAAGATTAGACAACTGCCCATGAGCCCATTCAACCCACAAAACCATTGACGATAATAAAATGGTTACGCTTTTAAGTCACTAAGATTTGGGATAGTTTGTTATGCAGCAATAGGTAACTAAAACTTTCCGTCACTGTGCCAGAAGGAAAGAGCATGAGAAACTGTGCACGGGTTCTTAAAGCTTTTGCTCGCAAGTGACACAGATCACTTCAATCACACTTCAATGGCCATGCTGAGTTGAAAGGAGGGAAATGCAAGTTGGCTACGTGAGAAAAGAAATGGAAAAGAGGGCTTCCCTGGTGGTGCAGTGGTTAAGAATCCGCCTGCCAATGTAGGGGACACGGGTTCGAGCCCTGGTCCGGGAAGATCCCACATGCTGTGGAGCAACTAAGCCCGTGCACCACAACTACTGAGCCTGGGCTCTAGAGCCTGCGAGCCACGAGTGCTGAAGCCTGTGTGCCTAGAGCCCGTGCTCCACAACAAAAGAAGCCACCGTAGGGACTTTCCTGGTGGCACAGTGGTTAGGAATCCGCCTGCCAAAGCAGGGGACACAGGTTTGAGCCCTGGTCTGGGAAGATTCCACATGCCACAGAGCAACTAAGCCCCCACACACCACAACTACTGAGCCTACGCTCTAGAGCCCGTGCTCTGCAATGAGAAGCCACCGTAATGAGAAGTCCGCGCACCGCGACGAAGAGTAGCCCCTGCTCGCTGAAACTAGAGAAAGCCCGCATGCAGCAACGAAGACCCCACGCAGCCAAAAATAAATAAATAAAATAAATAAATTTATTTAAAAAAAAAAGAAATGGAAAAATTTGTTGGGTAGTGTGGATACCTCCAGAGAGGGGTCAGGCCTAGAGAGGTACATCTTCCATAGAGATGACAAGTCAATCAGTAAGCAGCAGATTACATTTGTAAGGGAAAGGCAGGGAAGTCATCTGTGGATTTATGGAGGCCTTTGAGTTCCAACTGAGTTTCTGAGATAGCTGAGGACCACTGGAGATAGGTATCTGAGTAAAGGAAATCAGTATACAGGACTAGTCCCTTCATGTAGTAATGAAGGAGGGAAAGACAGAGCAGGCCACCAGTCTGAAAGTTACTACAGTATTCAAAAAAAGAGTATCCTACTGGGAGAGATTTTTCCTGTGGGGAGTGGGGGGGCTTCAAGTGTGAAGTTGAGATGCTTATTTTATCAAGGATATAAAAGAAAATGTTTACTGGGTCCATAAGCCATGGCCGCTGAGCCTGCGCGTCCAGAGCCTGTGCTCCACAGTGGGAGAGGCCACAACAGTGAGAGGCCCGCGTACTGCAAAAAAAAAAAAAAAAAAAGAAAGAAAATGTTTAATTCTCATGGCAGAATGTTAATTACCTACCCACCATTTCCCAACCTACTTCCCTGACAACAGAACTTCAATTCTGCTTAGTTCCTCTCTTCCCCGCAAACCAATCAGGAAAAAAAAAACTATACACACATAATTCAGTACCAAGGTAAATCCCAACTGGTCTAAGCCAGTGGTTCTTAACCAGCATCATTTCTCTAGGGAGTGTGTGTGGGATGGAGGGGAAGAGGGTTTTTTTTTTTTCTTTTTTTGGTGTCACAATGCCTTGGGTTGCTATTAAATTTAGTAGGAAGGCACCAGAGATGCTAAATGACCAGCAACGCATGCCACAGTCCTGTATAATAACTGTCAAAAGCCAGATAAACACTAACCAATCATGGTAATCCCATGCTCCTTGTCAGTCACTGTTTTAGGGACTAGCTAGCAACCCAATTCTGGTAAATAAGATATAAGGAGTGGCCAGCTATGAAGCCTCTGGGGTGGTTTCTTCCTGCCTGTCGATGTTGTCCCAACCATATGACACCTGGGACTGCTACAGCCATCTTCTCCCTAAAACCAGTGTCTTCCCAAGCTCCCTGTTTCCATTATTGCCACTTCCATTTCCTTTTACCAGGTCCTGAAGCAATTTTGACTTCTCTTAACCATTAACCTTAGGGTGACCACTTGAGGTTGGCTTAGGACAGTCTAATTTTACTCCTATTCTCCCAGTGTAATTAACGGTGCCCCCTTTATCTTCGGAAAGTATTCTAGATTGGAGGAGTACAGACTATACATGGTCATTACCCCCAATTAAATCTTGTTCACTCTGCCTCAAGAAAATACCTCTAAAGCAGGGGTCAGCAAACTATGGCTTATAGGCTGTTTCTGTACCTCTGGAAAGTGAAAAAAAAAAAAAAGTTTTTTACATGTTTAAATGATTGAAAAAAAGTTAACGGGACTTCCCTGGTGGTCCAGTGGTTAAGACTCCGCACTACCAATGCAGGGAGCGTGAGTTCAACCCCTGGTTGGGGAACTAAGATCCTGCATGCTGGGCAGCACAGCCAAAATAAAATTTAAAAAAAAGTTAAAAGAATATTTCATGATATCTAAAATTATATCAAATTAAAATTTCAGTGTCCAAAAATAAAGTTTTGTTGGAACACAGCCAAGCTCATTCCTTGAAGTATTGTCTATGGCTGCTTTCTCACTACACGACAGAGTTGAGTAATTATGATAGAGAACACTTAAAATATTAATGTTTGGCCCTTTGAAGAAAAGCTTGCAGACCCCTTCTCTAATGCTGTCATTAGTCATGCGTTCCCTCACTTCCCTTACTCCTTTCACCAATACGGTAGCCTACTTAACTGGTTTCCCATTCTTTTCCCCACTCCAATCTTTCATACCAATCCTAGTAGAGAACTCTCTACAGAAGAGTTTTGATCCTGTCACTTGCCTCTTCCATATCTTCAGAGGCTCCTCCAAAACCGGCAATATGAAGTCCAAGCCTATCCCTCGATACTTAAGACTGCAACCTCAAGTCTTCCAGACTGTTCCTCTTCAGTACTTAAAGCCAAAATGGACCACTTGCTGTTTCCCTAATTAGCATACCATACGCCCCCATTGCTTGCCCACGTCTCTCCTCCATCCCATCAGTTCCTCAAGATAAAACGAAAACTGTTACTCCCTTGATAAACCTTCATTCGCCACAAAGGTAGTTCACACGCGCGCGGGGGCGGGGACTAGCGACACAAAACAGACTGGAGCGAGAAGGAGCACATCAGATGACCTGAGAGCGTGAGGTGAGGGGTTCAGAATGAGGCTTCAGAGGTGACATTTACACAGGAATTTTAAGGACTCGAGAGGCTAAAAGACTCTACAAGACCCAGAAAGATGAAAAGAAACTGTAAATAAAGCTAAATGCGCGAATAAAGGACCACCTCATCCTATTCACTTGCCTCTCGCCCCAATGAGAACGTTTCAAGGAAAAACGACACCTTTAGTACAAAATCTGAAAGAAAATTCTACAAGAGCAGCCTTGGCTAAAACCACTGGGGAATGGCGCAGACAGCACGTAGATTCCTTCTGCCAAACAATCCCTGGGCGAGCTCCGTGCGCGCTCTCCGCGCCAGGCGACTCCAGCTCCTCGCCAAAACTTCTAGGCTGTAGCTTTGCCTGCGCGCCCACGCTCTGGGCTTCCGGACAGGCGCGACGGCGCCCGGGGGAGAAAGAGACACCCCTCTTCAGTGTGCGAAAGCAGTTATAACTATGTCGCGGCCTCCCACTAGCCACCAACCCGCGCCCTCGGGAAGGCGTCAGGGAGGGTCCCGCCTCAGTGGCCGCCTCAGCACACGTGAAGCTCTCGAGCGGAGCCAAAGCGAAGAGGCGGGAGTTTGCGGACGCGAACCCTGGCCTGGGAAGAAAAGCGACTCCTGGGCGCACGCGCACAGCGAGGGGACTGGGAGGAGCGTGTCTCCCAGAGGGCTTGCAGAGGAAAGGAGAGCGCGTGGCGCCGCGGGGCCCGCGCACGCGCCGTAGTCTCGCCCCGCCCGCGCGCGCGGCCGGCGCACCGTGTTTTCTTCAGACCCGCCCCCCTCTTCTACTTCAACTAGAGGCGAAGGACGAGAGCAGGGAAGTGTGGGGCGAGGTGGGCGGGGCGTCGCACGCGCGCGCGGCCTGCAAAAGGAGGGAGGGGGACGGAGGGAGAGATCCAAGACAACGTTACCGCGTTAACACCCAGTCGGGAGCCGGCCTGACCCCGCCCCCTACCCTCACGCTATTGGCTGGGAGGCCCCACATGGGCGGGGCCGACCGTGGGGTTGGGGAGGGCAGGGGGCGGGGAGGAGAGGAAGGCGCTGGCGGGCAGTGATGGCGGCGGGTGATGGGGACGTGAATTTAGGCACCCTGGGGAGTGGCAGCGAGAGCAGCAGCGACGGTAGCAGCGAGAGCCCGAGCGGCGCGGGAGCGGCAGCAGAAGGGGGCGGCTGGTCGGCTGCTGCGCTGGCCCTTCTGACGGGGGGCGGGGAGATGCTGCTGAACGTGGCGCTGGTGGCGCTGGTGCTGCTGGGGGCCTACCGGCTGTGGGTGCGTTGGGGGCGGCGGGGTCTGGGGGCTGGGGCCGGGGCGGGCGAGGAGAGCCCCGCTGCCTCTCTTCCTCGTATGAAGAAGCGGGACTTCAGCTTGGAGCAGCTGCGCCAGTACGACGGGTCACGCACCCCGCGCATCCTGCTTGCGGTCAATGGGAAAGTCTTCGACGTGACCAAAGGCAGCAAGTTCTACGGCCCCGGTGAGGAGTTGGACGGGGAGGGGGAGGACCCCCTGCAGCTCAAGCGCGACCATCTTATGATGGGGAGGCCCCTGGGCAAAGGGTTAGCTTGCCATCCTTCTTGACATCTGGATCCCCGCGCCTTGTCTCCTGCACCTGAGACGGCCCGCCCCCCACACGCCTCGGCCGCGGGCCCCTCCGGCGTTTACCCCCCCGAAGTCGGGGTCCCAGTGTCGCCCCAGGAGCCAGCTCTCATCTTTCATTTTTCTCCTATCCCATTTCTCCTCGCAGCCTTTTCTTGTGCTGAATTTTTCAAAATCCTTTTAGTTGTCGCCAGTCACGCTGGCCCTCAGCCTTTCCTGAGCTTTCTGATTCCTGGGATCGTTGGAGGCGGGAGAGAAGAAAGATTTCTAAAGTAGGGACCTAAAGTTTTAGGTGCTGTAATTCATAGCTTTCCTTTCTTTACTCTGTGTGTGTGTGTTTGTGTGTGTGTGTGTGCGCGTGTGTGTGCACGCGCCACTGAGCTTCCTTTTCCCTCTACTACTCCCCATAAGGCCACATTTAGGTACACGGAGTTCCAAGTCCCAGCCCTCTGTAAACTCCTGTCATATAAGCAACACCTCGACTCTTTTTTTTTTTAAAAAAACGGGTTTTGGTACGAAGATGCTTTCCAAGATTAACAATATATGTGGGATGAGGCAGACCTGAATGCAGATCCTAATAAATACTGGCAAGGGTCTTCGCCCAGAGTTTTGGGGGTGGAGCTCATATACCCAGCAGGCGTGCCTGTCCGGTTTCTCTCTTTTATCTTTTTTTTTTTTTTTTTTTAGTAGGAAGGCAAGTATTCAACTACACGTTGATTATGATTTATTGTGTTTTCACTGAGGAGCAAAAACTTAAAACAGCTATAAATTCATACCCCCAGGCACCAGTGCTGCAAGTTAAAGATTTTTAAAACTTTGCTTTCAGAGAACTGTGTGTGTGTAGGGTGTTTGGTTTAGAAACCCTTCTTTTACAATGTAGTTATAGCATACATTTCAGATTATGTTAATAAACTTCAGTTCAGACTCATGGAACCTGTTGGCATACCATAAAACTGATCAACATTGTACATGCTGGTTGTGTAGTTATTCTGAGCTTTAAAAAAGTGACTACAATAAAAGTAAATAAAATTAGAGACCTAGAGTGACCTGTTATTCGAAAGAGTGCATCCAGGTCTTAAAGTCAAGGGGGTTGGCAAGTCTAAAAACAAGTTGGTTTCCTCTTTAATCTGTTAGTCCATGAGATTTATTGACACTTGCAAATATATACTTACGATTTCTGTGCTTAGTGCTGGAAGGTATTTTAGAAGTGCTTTGGTTAGTTGTTAATTAGAGGTAAGAAATTGGAGATTCTACATGTTGAACTATTTATTTCTTAGTGCCTTGTATTTTCTGTATATATTTATAGTACATTCAATCCAACCAAGTCACAGATAGCTTATTAAGTACTTGCTTCTCGTTGTATAAAAATGAAAACCAGATGTCTGCCTACTCATATCAGCTGAAATAGTTAATACTTTTTTGTTTACTTATGAGCATGGGGGATAAGACAATAGGGCCAAAGTACAATATTTAAACGGACAGACCAAATTAAATAGTTTTTTTTTTTTTTTAGTCAAGGATTTACACAGTATGTGTGTTCGATGATTAGAAATTGTGTACAGGTTTAGATTTTTAATACAGAGCTTAACCAAACTAAAAACTCTGCCTTTGTACCCCTATCTAAACTGACAGTGAAGCAACCAAAGTATTAGTACAAAGAAGCATATCGGTCCTCACACATTATGCCTTGCCACTATCTGAAAATAGCTAGGAGAAACAGCCTTAGACACAGTTTGGCAGGATCCAGTGGCAAATGTTCTGCAACAGAAATTTTAAAATTGAGTCATAGTTGTAATGTAGATGGCCTTTGTGTGGCTTGAGCCAGTGAGGGGGTTCCTCGTAACAACAGAAGAGTCAGCTTTAGGTTAGCTTCCACTGATTTCCAGGTCCTAATGAACAGGCTAAGAGTGATATTCAGTTATTTTATTCTAAGTACTTATCAATTAACAACCTAATAGAGGTATTTGGAATATTTTATTATTGAAAGGAACCTTAAAGGTAGCCAGATCATCTTAGGGGCTGAGAATATATTTCACATTAAGAGAAGATAAAACACTTCCCAAAAGTCTTGAAGCCAAATTTCTGGCTATGAAACAGACATAAGTTCGGTTTTGGTTTTAATTTTTTATTTTCATCCTCAAATCAATTAAGCAGTTTTGTAGCAGAATAATTCAGAAGTAAAAATCCTTACCTGAGACTCTTAGTAGCTGAAAGAATGAGCTAATAAGGGAGCTAGAAAACCTAGTTTCTGTGCCTAACCAATATCTACTCCCATTTCTCAGTAATGGTTTTAGAGTTAGATTGTTTTGTGAGGCTTTTTCTGTGTTGAAGATATTTTTAGCCATACATTTTTAAAGTATGGGTTCTTAAAAAATTAAATATTGGCAGTTTAATTTAGTGGAGTAAACATATTGGCAAACAGTTGTCATTAACTACATTTGTCAATATTAAATTTAGTAACAGTTTAGGCAGTTGGCCAGCACGTGAGGAAAGTGGTCATGTAAGAAACAATGAATGTGGAAGGAGAAAGGAACTAGATTTGTTAAGCAGCTACTACATCAAATCCATTAATTTGTCATCTCCACAGTGCTTCAGTGAGATTAGTGAGTATTCTGTCTTTCATATGGGGAGCCTGAGGTTTAGGAATTTGAGGTAAATTGGCTTGGGT